CCCCAGAGACGTTCCCTTTGAACATTTCATGCAGCCCGCCTAGCCTGATATCAAAATAAAGACTTCAGTCATTCCAATTGGACATTGTAGTAGTCTTCTTCTATCGGAACCCGCAACATCACCACCACCACCATTAGCACCATCACTGTGATTACCACCACCATTATCATGCTCCCCAAGGAGCAGGAGGTGGGTGATGACCCTGAGCCTGGCGCTGCCCCCCCCTCCCCCCAGGGAGGAAGTTCCTGAGTTTCACAGACAGGTGCCTGGCAGAGTAGAAGCTGTCCTAGCTGCCACCGGGGCTCTCCTACCTGTACCGTCAGGTCCACCTCCTGCCACATCCGTGCCACCACTTCAGAGGCACCCGAAGGGTGCACACCCCAGAGACTGGTCTCTGCTCATCTCTCCCACAAACCTTTTGATGACAGCTCTTTTCCCTCAGCCCACTTTCTAGCTGGACCACCTTGTCTTGGACATACAAAGTGGTCTCGGGTCCCGCTGAGATCTACAACCCCAACACCGCCCAGCCAGCCCCAGAGAGCCATGTTGGAGAAGGGCCCAAGGCCCAATGTCGTATGGGATTTGGGGACAATCCTCGGACTTCTCGGCACCTGGCTCCCCGTTGGTCAAATTGGTGGCTCTGCACTGGGTCGTGCCGGACTCTGCAGCGAGGTTCAAAAGCTCTCGAAGGCAGTGCAACCTTGGCTGGCCATGAGCGCCCGGGTCTCACTGTCCACTGTTCCAGTGGGATGCAGCTGTCCGCACTTGTGCTGAGTAGCCAGGGAGTGTAGTCACTGTGGTTTCCCTTCGTGATGAGGGACGGACGGGTTCTTCTGGGCCCAGGTCAGCTTCCAAACAGACATGGATGCCGCAGGCCTCAGCCCACCACCCTCTACCCCGCCAGCCCGCCCGCGGTAGCACCAGGAGCTCCCTCTCTTGCATGGGATGGTTTGGGGAGCTCACACTTGGACCGCGGGAGCCTGGCTCAGTCCTCACCTTCTTTATCAGCAGCTTTGTTCCGGTCGTTATTTGCTCCACCACCAGGTTCTGCCCCAAGGCCCCGGGCTCCAGCTCAGACAGAATCTACCAGAAGGGGGGGGGGGCTTTCAGGAAGTACCCCCCAGCTTTTCTCTCTCCTCTGGGTGTTCTCACCAACGACACCTCTTCCGATCCCTGTGGCAGAGCCCTCAGGACCTCACCCCCACGTTGCAGGCAAGGGAAGGCCAAGTGCCATTGGAGGCTCAACTGCCACCACCACTGGGGTAACTCGAGCTCATTCCTCCACCCCAAGCCCCTTCCCAAGCTCCCGGGGGCGGGGGGGACCCTACAGCCCCAACACCCAGTGTGCACCTCTGAGCTGGACAGCCAGTCAGGGGTCACGAGACCCAAAGTGGGCACGATCCTAGTGATGGCCATCCAGATGCCACACCACATTCTCTACAGCAGGGTCAGCATGGCGAGATTACTTCCAGGTTGCATGGAAGTAACGGAGGCCCAGGAAGCCTAGCCCTTGTCAGCAGGTAAGACCAACTGGTTTGAAATGAAACTCAGGGCCTTGACTCTGCAGAGTCACCACCCATGTCAGGGCTCTACAGGGAGGGCAGGTTGTGGGCACTCAGACACGTGGACATTTCAGTTCCATCTCCAGAGCCCTTGGGGCCACCATCCGGGCAGAGCAATTCAAGAACTGCCCAGCAATCACAGAGCGAAACGCACCCGTTTCTCAGATCAAGTCTACCCTCGTACTGAAACAATAACTTGGCTTTCATCATGAGCTTGTCTCCAGAAACTTGGGGGACAGGCTGCTGGCTGACTCCTCAGCGGTCCTCCCCACACTCCTGGAGGATCCCCACCAGGTCCTGGGGCACGGGGTGGCCATGGGGTTCTAGGCAGCTGACATTTACCACACTGCCACTTACATGCTGTGCTGTGGCCACGCCGCAGAGGGGCAC